TACAATATGTTGTCGGAACTGTTGATTTTGGAATTTGGTACTCTAATGTGTCAGATTTTAAATTGTTTGGTTTCAAGATAGTGATTGGGCAGGTTGTCAGGATGATAGAAAAAGTACCTCTGCATATGCATTCTCTCTTGGTTCAGGTGTTATATCTTGGAGCTCAATGAAGCAAGAAATTGTGACCTTGTCATCTTCTGAAGAAGAATATGTTGCTGCTACTGCATCAGCTTGTCAAGCGGTTTGGCTAAAGAGGTTACTTGCTTTCAAGAGCAAGCTACAACAACTGAAATTTTGTGTGACAATAAAGCTGCTATTATGATGACAAAGAATCCGGCATTTCACAGCAGAACAAAGCATATCGACATTCAGTACCATTTTAATCCGAAATTTGGTAGCAACTGGAAGTATTCTGCTGAAGAATTGCAGCACAAATGAACAAGTTGCTGATATTCTAACCAAAGCACTTCCGTTGGCAAGTATGAGTATTTCGGATCACAAATGGGAGTGACAAGCTTTGAAGCAAGGGGGTGTGTTGATTAATGCTTCAAAGTGACAACTTATTTAGTTCCTAGTTTTTAACATCTGTAAAGTTTGTACTTGTTCAGTTAATTAGCATGATCATTTAGTTGGATGATAATGGTAGAAGTAGTGGGAGCATTTTATCCACTTTGTTTAAAAGTTGCTTATTTTTAGCTTAAGTCATTTGGTTGTAAGCCTATTTAAAAGGCCTCTACTGTATCTTTTCTTATGCAATTTGACAGACTTCAAAATACTCTCTCTCTCAACTTTGCTTCTTTTTGTTTAATTCCCAACAATATTTTTGGCATCAGATCCAGGTTCATTGAGAGGCATCCATAATCAAATAAAAAGTTTGAGGTGAAGCCTAAGAGAAAAAAAGTAAGGAACACAAAATTTAGAGGAAGTTATGGCAAGCAACGATACAAGTTCTTCATGTCAGCCCCTGATTCCAATATTTTAAGGGGAAAAATATCTTCTTTGGAGTCTCAAATTAAAGATAATATTCAAGTCCCAGGAGCTATGGGATATGGTGGAGAACGGGTATGTTGAGCCAAATCCGGCACCAGCTCAACCCGACCAACAACTACGGGAGACTTGCAAGAAAGATGCAAGGGAAATATTTTTCATCTAATCGGCACTGGATGATGAAATTTTCCCCCAAATTGCAACAGAAACAACTTCCAATCAAGCATGGGAGACTCTAAAGCAAGAATATTTGGGCGACAAGAAGGTAATTACTATGAAATTACAAACACTTAGTCGTGAATTTGAAACTTTAGCCATGAAAGACAAAGAGTTTGTGCAGGAATTTATATCTAGAGTTTCTGGAATTGTTAATCATATGAAAACATATGGTGAAAGTGTTAACAATGAAACTATCATGAGTAAAGTGTTGAGAAGTTTAATAAAAAGCTTTGACCATATCGTTGATGCAATAGAAGAATCTAAGGACCTATCTGCTTACACTTTTGATGAACTAATGAGTTCATTGTTAGCCCATGAAGTTCGGATCAGTAGGTCCTATGAAAAGGTGGACGAGAATGCTTTTCAGGTGAAGGGGGAGCCTCTTTACAAGGTAAAATCAGAATTTTTTGGTGGCCAAGGCAGAGGAAGAGGTGGCTATCATGGTGTAGGTCGTGGAAAAGATAGAGGAAGAGGTCAATTTGGCGATTAACGTCAAAATAAAAATAACATTCAATGTTGATAGTGCAAGAAGTTGGGCCACATAGAAGCTAATTATTGGACCAAGTAGAGGGATGAAGAAAAGCAGCAGATTTCACATAGCAAAAGCAAGTAAATTTCATAGAGGAAGTTGAAGAGGGAAGTAAGTTATTCATGACCCAATCTCCTATCAATCATGGCCTTAATGGAGTGTAGTTCATAGACAGTGGTGCATCAAACCATTTGTCTGGAATGAGGTCACTGTTTAAAAAACTTGATGAGTCCCAAAAAGGTGAAGTCCGACTTGGAGACAACAAGCCGATGAAGGTTGAAGGGAAAGGTATAATTTCCATCAAAACCAAAGATGGTAATGTAAAGCTTCTACATGATGTGCAATATGTTCCTAATTTAGCCCATAATCTGTTAAGTGTTGGCCAATTGATGAGTGGTGGTTACTCTCTTCTGTTTGATGATGATTGTTGCACTGTTTATGATAAGAACTCAAGGCAATATATTATCAATATTTCTATGACACAAAATAAACTGTTTCCTTTAGGTATATCTGGTGTGAAAAATTGCGCTTTAGTTGCTAAAACTAGTGGCGCTAATTTATGGCATTTACGGTATGGCCATCTGAATGTTAAAGGGATGAAATTGTTGAGCCAAAAAAATATAGTTGTTGGGTTGCCTAAAATTGATGGTCTTGATTTTTGTGAAGGGTGTGTCTGCGGTAAGCAAAGTAGAAACTCATTTCCTATAAACAAGGCTTGGACGGCTTCCAGTAGTCTTGAATTGGTGCACACTCATGTTTGTGGTCCAATGAGTATTGAATCCTTAGGTGGAAGTCGATATTTTTTGTTGTTCACTGATGATTATAGTCGAATGAGTTGGGTAAATTTCTTGAAATTCAAATCTGAAAACATTTGAGAATTTCAGGAAATTCAAGGCGTCTGTAGAGAAGCAAAGTGGGTGTTCTATAAACAGTAGCAAAGAAGTTTTAGGCAGAAGCAGTAGCAACATCAGTGTATCTTCTCAATATTGCACCGACAAAGGCAGTCATGAATCGAACCCCATATAAAGATTGGAAGGGGTAGGAAGCCACGGGTAAGCCATCTAAAAGTTTTTGCTTGTTTAGCTTATGCTTTGGATACTTCTCCATCTTGTCGCAAACTTGATGTGTCCTCAATCCAAAGCATATAAGCTGTATAACCCGATGAGCGGCAAAGTTATTATAAGCAGGGATGTTAGGCTCAACGAGGCAGAAATTTGGGCTTGGAATGTTAGCAATACTACAACACCTGCAAATTCTGTAGTTCTTGAAAATGCACCTGAAATACTTGTAGCTGAACCTTCAGCACCAGTAATGTCTGAAACACTTGGAGAGTCTTCAGAGGAGCCAATTCCAGCAGATCCAATTCCTCTAAGAAGATCAACCAGGGACAAAAGACCAAATCGCAAATATTCTAATGACATTTATACTTGTCAATTTGCTTTTATTTTTTCAGATCCTATACACTATGGAGAAGCAACTGAAAAAGAAGAGTGGCAACAGTCAATGGTGGAAGAGATGAATGTTGTCGAAAAGAATAAAACGTGGGAGTTGGTCAACTTACCAAAGGGAAAGAATCTTATTGGCCTGAAATGAGTGTTCGCACGAAGTACCATGCTGATGGAACTATTCAGAAGCACAAAGCTCGGCTAGTTGCAAAAGGATATGCACACCAGCAAGGAGTTGATTTTGATGAAACATTCTCTCCCGTAGCGCGCTTTGAAATGGTAAGAACTCTCTTAGCTCTTGCTGCTCAACTCTCTTGGCCAGTTTACCAATTTGATGTCAAGTCTACCTTCTTAAATGGAGAATTATAAGAAGAAGTTTATGTTGCTCAACCTGAAAGTTTTATTGTAACTGGACATGAAAGTAAAGTGTGCAGGTTGAAAAAAGCTTTATATGGCCTAAAGCAAGCGCTGTGAGCATGGTATAGCAATATCGACTCTTATTTCCAGGAGAATGGATTTGAAAGAAGCAAAAATGATCCTACTCTCTATGTAAAGAAGCAAGGTAAAACTGATTTCTTGGTGGTGTGACTTTATGTAGATGATGATTTATATGGGCTCTTGTGAATCACTTATTGCTAACTTTAAGTCTTTCATGATGAAAAGTTTGAAATGACAGACTTGGGGTTGTTGCACTATTTCTTGGTCTTGAGATTAAACAAAGTTTAGATGGAATTTTTGTCTCGCAAAGAAAATATGCAACTGATCTTCTTAAGAGATTCAATAAGTTGGGTTGTAAGATAGCTTCTACACATATGAATGTGAATGAGAAGCTCATATCAAATGATGGTACAGGTTTGACGGATGCTCGATGCTTTAGAAACATAGTTGGTGGTCTATTTTATTTATCGCACCCATAACCTCACATGGCATTTTCTGTTTGTGTGGTTTCCAGATTCATGCATAACCCAACAAAGCATCATTTTGGGGCAGTAAGGCGGATTTTTTACAATATGTTGTCGGAACTGTTGATTTTGGAATTTGGTACTCTAATGTGTCAGATTTTAAATTGTTTGGTTTCAAGATAGTGATTGGGCAGGTTGTCAGGATGATAGAAAAAGTACCTCTGCGTATGCATTCTCTCTTGGTTCAGGTGTTATATCTTGGAGCTCAATGAAGCAAGAAATTGTGACCTTGTCATCATCTGAAGAAGAATATGTTGTTGCTACTGCATCAGCTTGTCAAGCGGTTTGGCTAAAGAGGTTACTTGCTGATCTATTTCAAGAGCAAGCNCAAGTTGCTGATATCTAACCAAAGCACTTCCGTTGGCAAGTATGAGTATTTCAGATCACAAATGGGAGTGACAAGCTTTGAAGCAAGGGGGTGTGTTGATTAATGCTTCAAAGTGACAACTTATTTAGTTCCTAGTTTTTAACATATGAAATTTAGTACTTGTTCAGTTAATTAGCATGATCATTTAGTTGGATGATAATGGTAGAAGTAGTGGGAGCATTTTATCCACTTTGTTTATTAGTTGCTTATTTTTAGCTTAAGTCAGTTGGTTGTAAGCCTATTTAAAAGGCCTCTACTGTAACTTTTCTTATGCAATTTGACAGACTTCAAAATACTCTCTCTCAACGTAGCTTCTTTGTGAGTAATTCCCAACATCCGATTATTTCTCACACCTTGTGGCATTGGTTGCCCTTCCTGCAAGTTATTCTGACATTGATAGGTTTACTGGACCTTGAACATGGATTTGATAGCGTTTATTACAATATATGCAAGGTGAAAGGGATGTAAAATAATAACAATACAGTCAAATCTCTTTATAACAGTTTCGTTTATTTCAGATTTTTTTGATTGTTACAGCGAAGTGCTATTATAAACATATACTATTATAACATAACATGTAAATTGGTTCCAAAAGAAATTTGACTTTTATAGTGAATAATTGTTATAGTGATAGCTGTTATATAAAGAGGCCTGTACATATATGTGAAGTTACTGAATTGCTTTTACTCAATCTTCAATTACTGTAAACGTAAAAGTATAGTAAGCAAAACCAGTGAGGCCAGCAGCCACAACAACCGCAGCTGCAACACCCAAAACCACCTTTGTGAACTTGTTCAATCTTGAATTCTTTGATGCTTTAGTTGATCCTTTTTCTTCATCAGCTGGGGGTGATTTAGTAATTTTCTTTGGCAATGTAATCTTAAGAACACCTTTCTCGAACTCTGCCTGGATTTCATCAGTTTCATAGTCCTTCCATACTGGAAATTCCCTGAAAAATCGCAATCTTTTTTTATTGACTTGTCGATCTCCAGAAACCTTCAAGCCTCCAAAACTGCTTATTTGTACCTTCAACCCTTCTTTATCCTTGAATTCTTCCATGCAAAGAAAAGAATCAATAAATAGCTTAAAAATCCCGCTGTTTATCATTATTCAACTTTTTAGGCTGGTTAAAATGTCACGGATATTTCAGCTTTTACATTTTGAAAAAAAGCAAACATAGTTTATAAGTATAAATCATGTTATGCTTTGATTTATAAGTATAAATCATGTTATGTATGCTGAAAGCTGGAAAACTTCGAGACGTGAATCAAAAAATGAGTTGGATAGATTATCAAATATCTATCCTAATTTATGTGGCACTATTCAGATTTCGAGAGTCAAATAATTTATGCTTTGATTGTAGTTTTTCATGTCTTTTAAATATTTTAAATTGTTAATTATTGTGACTTACAGTATTTCTTATGTAATTTTCAAATATATAAAGTTTATTTTTAAAAAAAAAAAATTTATGTCAAAATTATTCATGGCCAAAATTAAAAAATTAGACTCTTGAAATTTGAACGGTGTCACATATTGGGATGGATGGAGTAATTCTTAAGTAAAGAATGACTTATGTACGCCATTTTACATTGAGAATATTGAATGTTGATAAATGTTTTTGCTGTACGTAGTATTTCTTTGTTGAAAGAAACCTGGATTACCTTCTATATAATGCTGTTATTGGTAATGTAGAATGTGAAAAATTATATTACTCCTTCCGTCCTTTTTAGTTGGTCATGGTTACTCAAAGTAATTGATCCATAATATTTGTTATTTTAGAAAATCAAGATAGAGCTAATTATTTTTTTTCACCTTGTGTTCTTACGCTAATAAATGTATAGAGAGATTAATATAGTGAAAGAAAGAGTAGTATCAAAGAATAATTCTGTTAATTAATATATTCTTAAGGAGCGTGTAGAATACAAACATGACGAGTAAAAAGATTGGAGGGAGCATTCCTTACCAGCTGGGAGATGAACTAAGAGAACGTCATGTCTTTGTTCACGTAGCCACTCGTACGATGGTTCAAAACGGTCTTCAGATGCTCCTACTTTGGCTTCCATTAATTAATTAATGGGAATATTACTCGCTCTCTTGAATTTTAAGTGAATTCTTTCAGATTAAGAGCTGCAAGATGTTTCTCTATATATAGGAGAATATCAAAGAATATCAACTAATTTAGAGCTCTCTTATGGGAAGAGAAAGATTCCTTTTTGGTCATAGAGGTTGTTGTTTCAAGTTGCTTTCTGGTTAACTACCTTTTGAGAGCACATGGTGAAGTCCATTGTGTAGGGCAATGAGAAATTCCATGTTTGCTTCATATGCTAGCTAGTCAGTTGGGTGTTTAATAAATCAGGTAGAAGTAGTGAGACAAAATGTGATGCAACGACATGGGTTAATACGTATATACCCATAGAATGGGGAAAAAAAAAAACTTCGACATAAGATACAACATTATGCATATATAGCTACGAAAATCTTAGTTATTGATTTTAAAAATCGTGGCTAGTATCTAACAATAGCGACAAAAATTTAAATTCCATGGTTATTTACAAATTTATAAAACTTCTTAGCGACAAAAATTAAATTGGCAAAGGCAATTCCTCATTTCTTTTTTAATTGCTAACAATCGTAGCAATAATTACCTGAATAGTTGCAAATTTATTACTACAATAAAATTTCGTAGAAAAATAATTTTTTGCCACATGATAAAAGTTACTCTAGCAATAATAATCTTATAGCCATAATAAATTATATGAAGCAAAAAGTAGTAGCTAAATACGTATTTTTTCTTCAAGTTATCAAAAACTAGTGACAATAGTTAAATGATATAGCCATGAAGTTATTGCTATAACAAAATTTCATAGCTAATATTATTTTTAACTACGAGTTAAAACTTAGTGTAACAATAGGACATTTTAGCCACAACAAGTTATTTAAAAAAAATATTATAGCTAAACAAATTGTTTACCCTTAAAAGGGATAATAATTGAATTTATACGCGGTTTTAAGGAAATGTTTGATTCAACACTAATAATCAAGAATGTTAGATAAACGAGTTAAAGACAAAAGGAATAATCAAACCAATAGTGACATTAATGCTGGGCTCGGAGAGTGTTGTCTTATCGGGCTTGGTGGCTAGCACTCCATTCGAGCTTCGATACAAGAAGTTCTTAGCTTCGATTCTGATCCTATATAGTCACATCCTTTCTTCGTTTGACCCACCGGGAAATCGGGGTATGCGTTAGCCCCGTTTTCACCCGTATATAGATAGTCCCCTCATTTCCTAGAGAGTAGGTTTGCCGAAATGATGGAAAATGATAGATGAACCCCGGTTCCTTCCTTTGCACGTTATAACCGAGATGACGGATAAGCTGAAACGTCCCATCAATCGCATTCTAACTTCGGACATGTATCAATCATCGATCGGTCGCCTTTGAATGTGAAGCATCGCGCATTGATTACATTTTCCCCTATAAAAGCTTTGACCTTTTATACTTCTTTCACTTTCTGATCGTAGCTTTTACCTTTGAATTTTCTAGCGGCATTGAACTTTTTCAAATCTTCATATCTTCGTCTTTGATCTTCAAATTTTCATATTTGTTCCTAGATTTCTAATCTTCGTACTTTTTTCTTCAAACCTTCATACCTGTTTTTTCAAACCTTCATACATGTTTCTTCAAACATTCATACTTTTCCTTCAAATCTTCATACTTTCCAGATCACAATGGCCAAAACTTCCAAATCAGTTACTCAGCAGGCTGCCCCTTCATCTTCCCACCCGGCCACAGATGCAGAGGTGACTGTTGCCGAGGTGGCCCCAAAAGCCCTATGAAAAGCTTTATACCCGGGGGCTGTTCAATCGGGGATGACTTAAAGGTCAAGAAAGCCTCTGCCAAACAAGACTGAGGTGAAGGAGAATGGAGATACATATGATCTATTACTGAAGATACCCTTCCCATAGTCCGAGTAGGTTGTAAATGGAAAGGCAAGGACATGGTTGTCCCCGGGCCTAAGGATGATATTACTACCCATGTGGAGGGATATTTAAGTATTTACACTTACCCCTTCATGCTGGGCCCAGTAGACCCAGTAGTCCTGGCCTTTTGTAAGAGGTACAAAGTGTATCTCGGACAATCCACCCGTCCCTTTGGAGGATCGTGATCCTCCTTCTCTATTTTGTGAAAAACACTGAATCTCCTCAGTTCACCCTCGACCACCTACTCCGTCTGTACAGTTCCCAAATTTTTCGAGGGGGACTAATCAAGCTTGTTGTCATGACCCAAAACCGAACCGTCGTGATGGCGCCTATCGTGGAACTAGGAAAGCCAACTACTCAACCATTTCAACACATCAAAAGCTTTGAAAAATACGGAGGCAGCTAATATTTAAGGAAAACCTTTTAAAGATAGAAATAAATTCGCAACTCAATACAAAATCTCTCCCAAAATCGGGGTGTCACCGAGTACATGAGCATCTATACAGGGATATAGTCTAATACAACGTCTGGGGAATAAGAACTAAAATATAAGTAAAGATAATGAAGGAGAGTCAAGTTCTGCAAACGCCATGCAGCTATCTCGATAGTCTCCAAAGATCCTGACTTCACAACTCAGTAGTCGTCGTGACCGGAAGCACCTGGATCTGCACACGAGGTGCAGGGTGTAGCGTGAGTACAACCAACTCAATAAGTAACAAATCTACCTTTGGACTGAAAGTAGTGACGAACTCAACCGGTACAGTCTATATAGACATAACAGTGCGAAAACGTAGGCATGCTTTCATTTTTAACAGTTAAACTCAATACAGTAAGATAGATCAAATCCGAATGATATAAAGAATATAACTTCTCTACTTCTACATGCCAATGCACATGCTGTATGTGATGCACCATGCTGACAGCCTCATGTGCTCACACTCTCGAAATGCTCAATCACCCAGTACTGTATATGGCCAATACATCACAGGGAAGATCCGTCCCGGAATATATACTGCAACTGACCATCAGTCACTCAGTACTGGGTAGGTCCAATCCAGCCCGTGGGGAAGATCCATCCCAGGTATAAATGCTTCGGACAAGATCTATGTCCAGAGAAGATCCATCCCTCAATATAATCAACCGCGCTCACTGGGGGTGTGTACAGACCCCTAAATGTGACTCATAATCAGGCCCTCGGCTTCACTCAATCATCAATCTCTCCAGTCTCTCTCACGGGCTCACAATGTCATGAAAGTAGCCCGAACATGATGATATGATGTATCAATAAATGATAACAGAGAATGAGATATGATATGAAATGAATGAATATGACTGAGTACGAAATTCCAATGAAATCAATAAGTCAACAGCAAGAAAAGACCACTATGGGTCCCACAGTACCAGTATATATCCCAAACATGATCTCTAGCATGATTGACAACTCAATTACTTTATCTCATGATGAAAACACGGATATCAACAAGGTAAATCCACTATATAGTGCCATGTAATCGACCAGGTCACAATTTTTATGGTGCACGCCCGCACGCCAGTCACTTGGCATGTACGTTACCTCAACACCAATCATATAACAGTTCGGGATTTCTAACCCTCAGAACCAAGTTTAGAAGTGTTACTTACCTCAATCCGAGTGAAAACTCTACTCCAACATACCTTTGCCTCGCAAATTGGCCTCCAAATGTCCCGAATCTAGCCACAAGCAGTACGATTCAATCAATACGGTCTAAAGGAATCAATTCCACAAGAAAATACGAAGTTATTAATCAAAAATCTGAAATCGGCTCAAAGCCGCCCCCCCGGTCCCATACCTCAAAATTCGACAAAAATCACAAAACTCGAAAGCTCATTCAACCATGGGTCCAACCACACAAATTTTATCAAAATTCGACAACAAATCGCCACCCAAATCCCCAAATCAAACTCTCCAAATCCCTAGCCTCAAACCCCCAAGTTTCACCTTAAAACCACCCAATCTAGGTGGGAAAATCAATGGGGAAACAAGATTATTGATAAAAAATGAGCACAACGAGTTTACCTCAAGAATCCCCTCGAAAATCCTCTCAAGAATCGCCAAAACCCGAGCTCAAAATGTTAGAAATGGTGAAAATCTCGGAACCCTCATTTTAAATAGTCTGCCCAGCAATCTCGCTTATGCAGCCAACTAAATAGCGCATGAAATCGTAAGATGCCCGCTTCTGCGGCTTCCTCCGCACCTGCGACCCAACCTTCCGCTCTTGCGGACCCGCTTCTGCGAGCAACCCTTCTGCTTCTGCAGAACCCAGCTCCACTGCCCTATTCTGCTTCTGCAGTCCATCTTTCACATCTGCGGTCACGCAGGTACGCAATACCTCGCACCTGCAGCCACTTGCACACCTCCCTCAAAACTCCACATCTGCGGACCTCACCCTGCACATGCGATCTCGCACCTGCGATCAAGGCTCCGCATGTATGATTACACCAGCAGTCCCCAACTTCAGCAACTTCTATTCAACCTCTGATATGTTAACCATCCGGAATCAACCTGAGGCCCCCGGGACCTCAACCAACACACCAACAAGTCTTAAAACATCTACGAACTTAGTCGAGCCTTCAAATTACGTCAAACAACATTAAAAACATGAATCACACCCCAATTCAAACCTATTGAAACTAAGAAAATTCAACTTCTACAAACGATGCCAAAATCTATCAAATCACGTCCAAATGACCTCAAATTTGCACTCAAGTCACAAATAATACCACAGACCTACTCCAACTTGCGGAACTCCAATCCGACCCCAATATCAAAAATTCCACTCCCGATCATACTTTCCAAAAATTCAACTTTTGCCATTTCAAGTCTAATTCAACTATGGACCTCAAAATCACAATCCGGACATGCTCCTAAGTCCAAAATCACCCAACGGAGCTAACAGAACCATCAAACTCCATTCCGAAGTCGTTTACTCATAAGTCAACATATAGTCAACCTTTCCAACTTAAGCTTCCAACTTTGAGACTAAGTGTCTCAAATCATTTCGAAATTTCTCCGGACCCAAACCGACTAACCCGGTAAGTCACATAACAGCTATAAAGCACAAAATAAGTAGTAAATGGGAAAACAGGGCTACAACTCTCGAAACGACCGGTTGGGTCGTTACACTTGTTCGACGAGCCAACAAGGCTCCCTTTTCGAGCATCGATGAGGATCGAGACCGA